GTAGAGTTTCAATATACCATGAAACATGCCAACACTTCATACATACAGCTGCCATATAACTGTGTAATGTGGTAGAGTTTCAATATACCATGAAACATACCATAAAACAAACCAACTCTTCATATATACAGCTGCCATATAATTGTGTAATGTGGTAGAGTTTCAATATACCATGAAACATACCATAAAACAAACCAACACTTCTTCATATATACATATATACAGCTGCCATATAATTGTGTAATGTGGTAGAGTTTCAATATACCTTGAAACATACCATAAAACAAACAAACACTTCATATATACAGCTGCCATATAACTGTGGAATGTGCTAGAGTTAAAGCGTAAAAAGAAACAATGCATTCATTCTACTGGAAGTGTACATGTTCTAAGAAACTGTCTAAATTTCTTAGCTTGAAATGACCATAAAATTGCATGTTTCTCATTCGATTTGTAGTACTTTAAGGCTTAATTTTAATGGTTCTCTGAGATGACTAAAAACTTCCTGGGATGACGAACTCAGACCCCCGTGTTGTCTGACAGAAAACTAGCACCCTTACTCAAAATAGAACCGCAGTCTACTTACTTATCCATGCTCACACTATACATGTAATGTTGACTCCAATCCTCGACCAAAATCATTGGTAAATTCCCTAACTACAAACTTAAAAAATATGAACCCCAGAAAAATATCTTTTTTGTCATTTTTTGTTTTTTTAAGATTGTACACTGTACAAGAGAAATATTGGTGCAATCCACCAAAAGGGGTTGAAAACGTTTGGAAAAGTTTGCTTTTGTGATTGGCTAATAATGCTCATTTATTCACTAAACTTTCTATTGTAGACTAACTGCATGTAAATTTTGTATGGTAACACAATAGAGTGTATACAGCTGAGTTAGTTACATTATCACACTTTTTTTTTTCAACTTACAGCGTTTATAGTAAGTAAGATTTATTTGTAAAACAGGCATGACATTTCGATCACTGATCTAATCATACTTGGTACTTAATCGGTAAGTAAACTCAGAAAGAAACTATTACCACACAATGTATTGCACGATGTTTGTATTCATATATATGGGCTGGTGGGAATTTGTAATGACAACGAACATCAAGCACACAGATATTTAGTGAAGTTAATTTCTAGTGTCGATGATTATGACAATAAAACTAACATGGCTGTCTCAGCTTTTTACCTCCTTTACAAACTAAAATGATCAAATTTACGAAATCAAACTTCAAATTTTCATGGTTAATCATCACAGTTGAAACACTGGCCCTCAGTCAATTACACACGTATAGGCCTAAGGCTAATGTTAGACAGATACAACCGATCGAGTCTAGGAAATATGGAAGACCTAGCTATCATGAGTAAAGCAGGAAGATCCATGAATTAAACAGAACATAACAATGATAACAGAAAAATAAAATTTTATGAAAGTTGTGATCAGTGTGAAACAGAATAACAATAAATGAAATAAGGCTAGCTTTGACTCTCTCCAGGTCAATACAGAATAACAATAAATAAAATAAGGCTAGCTTTGACTCTCTCCAGGTAAATACAGAATAACAATAAATAATATAAGGCTAGCTTTGACTCTCTCCAGGTCAATACAGAATAACAATGAATAAAATAAGGCTAGTTTTGACTCTCTCCAGGTCAATACAGAATAACTAAATAAAATAAGGCTAGATTTGACTCTCTCCAGGTCAACACAGAATAACAATAAATGAAATAAGGCTAGCTTTGACTCTCTCCAGGTCAGTACATATCAGTGTTTGTGTGTGTGTGCCTGTGCAGTGCTCAGGCATTGTGTTCATATTATGGTATAGTAGTATGTATGAGAGTTCGATACAAGTCTAGACTTACTACAGGCTGTAATTTAATGTACTTGACAAGCAGGTCAAGCAAGTTAGAATGAAAACATTGAATGTGATTGGCCAAGATTGCTGTTTTGTTTAAAAGTTTTACAGGTCAATGACTGTTTATTTCCTTAAGATAGTATGTAACATTAGCATGGTTTGGGATTAATTTTTCCAATGTAATGAAACTTCCCATGAAATAAGGCATCAAAAATTAGTTGTCTAAAGATACGAGATTACCAACCAAACATTAATTGTACTATTTGGAAATAAATAAGATATAAAAAATCAAAATTCTTTTTTTAGGGTCTTTGTACATCAATATTTCCCTAATTGCATCTTTTTGAAGGTCTATGTTTTGGGGTTTTTCGGGAAACCATTACAGTCTTCTGGACAACCTGGAAATTTCCTTAAAATCAAGCCCAATACTACTTTCAGTAGAAAGAATATAAAAGCATTTTCCTCTTTGAACAGTGTACACTACTTCTTATGAGACTTTTTACCCAATACCTATTCTTGTCAGGTTGGCCAAAAATGCAACACACACTCAACATTTTGTGTTGTAATGCTTTATAGCTGTTACTCATAGCATGTAAGACTGAATTTTCTTTGCTGTGATTAAGTAAAATTTGTGGTTTATTTTATTTTTTTTACAGTTTTATATATGTTTTAAAATGATAAGTAACACATTACACGATCATATAATTAATGTTTATTGTACCTGAATAAGTAACATATTACACGATCATATAATTAATGTGTATTGTACCTAAATAAGTAACATATTACACGATCATATAATTAATGTTTATTGTACCTGAATAAGTAACATATTACACAATCATATAATTAATGTATATTGTACCTGAATAAGTAACACATTACACGATCATATAATTAATGTATATTGTACCTAAATAAGTAACACATTACACGATCATATAATTAATGTTTATTGTACCTGAATGAGTAACACATTACACTATCATATAATTAATGTTTATTGTACCTGAATAAGTAACACATTACACGATCATATAATTAATGTTTATTGTACCTGAATAAGTAACACATTACAAAATCATATAATAAATGTTTATTGTACCTGAATGAGTAACACATTACACAATCATATAATAAATGTTTATTGTACCTGAATGAGTAACATATTACACGATCATATAATTAATGTGTATTGTACCTGAATAAGTAACATATTACACGATCATATAATTAATGTTTATGGTACCTGAATAAGTAACATATTACACGATCATATAATTAATGTTTATGGTACCTAAATAAGTAACATATTACACGATCATATAATTAATGTATATTGTACCTGAATAAGTAACACATTACACGATCATATGATTAATGTGTATTGTACCTGAATAAGTAACATATTACACGATCATATAATTAATGTTTATGGTACCTAAATAAGTAACATATTACACAATCATATAATGAATGTTTATTTTACCTAAATAAGTAACACATTACATAATCATATAACTCTGATATTATGTATTTAGGTTCTCAAGTCTCCTCCTGAACCTGGTATGCTTGTTCTGGCTCCTTATGTAGATGGTAGAGGTATCTGTTTCTATCGAGCACGCATTGAAGATGTCATGTCAGATAGGGTTTACGTAAGTTTATATTGCCTTCATTTGAAATCTAATTCCAAGTTCTGAAAGTTTTATATTTGGGCCTCCCATGGGTTATATAATACACTATGTGGTAATACAACTTGTTTAGAATTATGTATCAAAGATGTCATGTCAGACAGGGTTTTTATAAGTTATATTGCCTTCTTTTGAAATCTAATTCCAAGTTCTGAAAGTTTTATATTTGGGCCTCCCATGGGTTATATAATATACAATGTGGTAATACAACTTGTTTAGAATTATGTATCAAAGATGTCATGTCAGACAGGGTTTATATAAGTTATATTGCCTTCTTTTGAAATCTAATTCCAAGTTCTAAAAGTTTTATATTCGGGCCTCCCATGGGTTATGTAATACACGATGTGGTAATACAACTTGTTTAGAATTATGTATCAAAGATGTCATGTCAGACAGGGTTTATATAAGTTATATTGCCTTCTTTTGAAATCTAATTCCAAGTTCTGAAAGTTTTATATTTGGGCCTCCCATGGGTTATATAATACACGATGTGATATTACAACTTGTTTAAAATTACATCCAATTATGGGAGAGTTGACGGTACTTCATATTTAGTATGGTTTTTTTCAGGTTTTCTTTGTTGATTATGGTAACACTGCTTGTATCAAGAACTTGAATGATATTTATGACATTGATCCTGAAAAGACTCCAGACCTGCTGACCACTCCAGCTCAGGTGAATGTCTGTTTGAGTTTTGATAAGATTTGTAAAAATCTGTGTTGTATTTCTTATTTCAACAATAAGTTATTACCTTAATACTTTGTTGTTGTTTTTCTATCAGTCTAACAATGTGCATTCTCATTATTGTATTGTTGCCAGATTAATCATGTATGTTCTCATTTTGTTGGTCACTCTAAAGAGTTGTCAGATTATTAATATGTCCACATAGCTTCATTGTATGTATGGTTACCAGACCAATGATGTGTGGACTTTTGATGTTGGTATTCTATGTGTGAATGTAAGATTAACAATACTGTTCAGTGTAAAGAGTTGCCAGATTATTAATATGTCCTATAACATTATTATTTATTGTATTGTTACCAGACTAATGATGTGTGGACTTCTGATGTTGGTATTCAATGTGTGAATGTAAGATTAACAATACTGTTCAGTGTAAAGAGTTGTCAGATTATTAATATGTCCACATAGCTTCATTGTATGTATGGTTACCAGACTAATGATGTGTGGACTTCTGATGTTGGTATTCAATGTGTGAATGTAAGATTAACAATACTGTTCAGTGTAAATAGTTGCCACATTATTAATATGTCCTATAACATTATTATTTATTGTATTGTTACCGGACTAATGATGTGTGGACTTCTGATGTTGGTATTCAATGTGTGAATGTAAGATTAACAATACTGTTCAGTGTAAAGAGTTGCCAGATTATTAATATGTCCTATAACATTATTATTTATTGTATGGTTACCAGACTAATCATGTGTGGACTGATCATTTCATTCTTCATTGAAAATTTTGCACCAATTGTTTAAATTTTCATTGTATTAGCCCCTAGACTGATAATGTTATTGTTCAGCTGCTTAACTAGTAATGTATATATTGATAATGTTGCTAGACTAGTGACTCATTTATCAGTCTGTCTGTTGTTCATAATACAGTTGCTGGACTATTGACTTAAATTTTGACAAAGAGAAGTTTAGACCTACTCTTACTGCTACTAACATAAATGTTGACAAGCAGAATGTTAGACCTATAGCTAGAGCTATTAACTTAAATGTTGATGAACAGAAGATAGACCTATAGCTAGAGCTATTAACTTAAATGTTGATAAACAGAAGATAGACATATAGCTAGAGCTATTAACTTAAATATTGACAAAGAGAAGTTTAGACCTATAGCTAGAGCTATTAAGTTAAATGTTGATAAGCAGAAGTTAGACCAATAGCTAAAGCTATTAACTTAAATATTGACAAAGAGAAGTTTAGACCTAGAGCTAGAGCTATTAACTTAAGTGTTGATAAGCAGAAGTTAGACCAATAGCTAGAGCTATTAACTTAAATATTGACAAAGAGAAGTTTAGACCTATAGCTAGAGATATAAACTTCAATGTTGCCAAGCAGAAGTTAGACCAATAGCTAGAGCTATTAACTTAAGTGTTGACAAAGAGAAGTTTAGACCTATAGCTAGAGATATAATCTTCAATGTTGCCAAGCAGAAGGTAGACACATAGCTGGAACTATTAACTTATATGTTGACAAAGAGAAGTGTAGACCTATAGCTAGAGCTATTAACTTAAATATGGAAAAGAGAAGTTTTAGCCTATAACTACAGCTACTAATGTAGATGTTCATTATACAGTTGCTAGACTATTGACTGGTTTTTCAGTCTGTCTGTTGTTCATTGTAGTTGCTAGACCATTGACTGGTTTATCAGTCTGTCTGTTGTTCATTGTATAGTTGCTAGGCTATTAACTGGTTTATCAGTCTGTTTGTTGTTCATTGTATAGTTGCTAGACTATTGACTGGTTTATCAATCTATCTGTTGTTCATTGTATATTTGCTAGACTAGTGACTGGTTTATCAGTGTCTGTTGTTCATTATACAGTCGCTAGACTATTGACTGGTTTATCAGTCTGTCTATCTGTTCATTGTATAGTTGCTAGACTATTGACTGGTTTATCAGTCTGTCTGTTGTTCATTATGCAGTTGCTAGACTATTGACTGGTTTATCAGTCTGTCTGTTGTTCATTGTATAGTTGCTAGACTAGTGACTGGTTTATCAATCTATCTGTTGTTCATTGTATAGTTGCTAGACTAGTGACTGGTTTATCAGTCTTTCTGTTGTTCATTGTATAGTTGCTAGACTATGACTGGTTTATCAGTCTGTTTGTTGTTCATTGTATAGTTGCTAGACTATTGACTGGTTTATCAATCTATATGTTGTTCATTGTATAGTTGCTAGACTATTGACTGGTTTATCAATCTATATGTTGTTCATTGTATAGTTGCTAGACTAGTGACTGGTTTATCAATCTATCTGTTGTTCATTGTATAGTTGCTAGACTATTGACTGGTTTATCAATCTATCTGTTGTTCATTATATAGTTGCTAGACTAGTGACTGGTTTATCAATCTTGCTGTTGTTCATTGTATAGTTGCTAGACTATTGACTGGTTTATCAATCTATATGTTGTTCATTGTATGGTTGCTAGACTATTGACTGGTTTATCAATCTATATGTTGTTCATTGTATAGTTGCTAGACTAGTGACTGGTTTATCAATCTATCTGTTCTTTATGTTAATAAATCTTAATGTTCGTTAGAGATGTATCTATTAGTATTGTTGCCAGTTTATATGTTTTAGACCATTAACAAGTATGTTGGTCATAACAAGTAAATGTGTACTGTCTTTATTATTTATTTAATTACTACTTTTGTAATCCCTAGTTGAATTTCGAAATTGCTTTTTTTGTTTTCTTTTAGGCTTTTGAGTGTGTCTTGAGTGAAGTACGCCCTTCTGCTCTCAGGTCACCTCGAGGACAATGGACAAAAGAAGCTCGTGACTGGTTTAAAACTCAGATTGATGGACAGGATCTTGTAGCAAGGGTATAACTTTCTTCTAACATATGAGATCTTTTGTTCTGAAGTTTGATTTTCAGTATGAGGTTATGAGGTAGAGATGTATTACACATAGGAATATATTGAGGTTAACCCATATCAAACACTACAACATAGTTAGGATAAACATGTATAGAGCATATTAAACATTGTGCGTAACTAAGTGTATGTTTATATATTAGTTACAGGACATATCATGTTAAAGTAATCCTGGAACATTCAGAGACTTTGTAAAGCACCTAGAAACAAGGTCACATTATGAATCAGAGAATCAGTGAAGCATTGAGTCAGTTTTTGGTTGATAGAATGCTAGTCATTCGGTGAAGTATTTAGTTTCAGTGAAGTAGTGGGATCACTTTTAGAGAATAGATCACAATTACAAACTAGTTTATAGGATATAGATAGAGAATAGATCATGACTACAAACTAGTTTATAGGATATATATAGAGAGAATAGATCACAACTACAAACTAGTTTATAGGATATATATATAGAGAATAGATCACAACTACAAACTAGTTTATAGGATATAGATAGAGAATAGATCACAACTACAAACTAATTTATAGGATATAGACAGAGAATAGATCACAACTACAAACTAGTTTATAGGATATAGATAGAG